GTGTTTTGAAACCGCAATACCGCGAGTTAAAACGAAAATTACCGCAAAACCGCACCAAAAATAACGCAAACCGCATCACCGCAAACCCTTACGCCCCCCTTATACACTTGTAGTCACACCGTTTACATTGCTTTTGAATACTCCTTGAAAGTAATGAGCTCATTAGATACGCTCATTTATATATTAAACCGTACCCAAATTCACAATTACTCTAAAGCCGTGTATATCAGTTTTTTGATTTGTCAATAACTAAAAATGTGCTCCAAAAACTGGCCAAATAATCCTCTGGGGAACGCAGTATCTCAGTCCAAATGTTCAAAAAAGCTCGTTCACAAATGTCTCCTATCTCCTGGCTGGAACGCTTGCCATTGAGAGCTGTCAAGAGAAGAAAATATAAATGAAAGGAGTCCCGATCATGACCGGACATTCACGTACTGCCCACTTGTGACGCGAACCTCCCTAGGGGAAACTCACATATGAAAAGATCAGGGAAGCTCGTCGGAAAATTTAAATTAAGCCGCTATAAGAGACCTAGACGTCTACGGGCGTGGCTCGAGCTTTAGATGCCATTTAAAGCGGAAGTGACAGCAGCTTTTATTATTTCTTCGAGTGGACCCTTAAAATTACTTTGACGGCTAAAATAGTGGAGTTTCGTCATGAACACCCTAAGTGAGAGCAGAATCCTTGATTCATACCCCTAAGCGAGACGACGAACCGTCCCCGACCTTTTCATGTTTGAGTAATCCTCCGGGCTGCATATCCGTGTGCGCGTTTCTTTTGGCTTTGTTTCGAGTTTTTGGTTGTAAACTGGGCTAGTATCATGAACAAGTAACGCTGATTCTCTTGAATAATCTGACTTTTTCTGTCAGAATTTATCCATGACAGTTCTCAATTCTTTTCAGCCGTCCCTTATGAGAGCGCCAACGTTTATTTAGTTGCTAGCCTACGATCTTTACTTTCCTGCAAAAGGTGACGATAAACGTCGAAGCATCTCGTCCCCAGTTTCAACGCTTCCTTTTTAATTTTTTTCACCGAGGGAAACTTACTACATTGTCCACCAGAAAGTTTTCTTTAATTAACCCTTAATCTAAAACGTCCTGTTGGAGGTGCGGTGGCCTCATAGTTAGTGCGCTTGACTTCGGATCGAGTGGTCCGGACTCGAGCCCTGGCCGGGGACATCGTGTTGTGTTCTTCAATGAGCAAGACTCTCACTGTGCCTCTCTCTAGCCAGGTGTATAAGTGGGTACTGACAAATTTAATGCTGGGAGTAACCCTGTGATGGATAGCATCCCATCCAGGGGGGAGTAGAAATACTCCTAGTCGCTTCATGCTACAGAAACCGGGATGAGCTCC